GACTCAGCCCCCTGGGGTGACCACCTCTGCCTCACCCCCTGGTGGGAGCAGACACCATCCATAGGGAGAGCCTGGTGGGACACCCAGCCCCCTGCCTGGGCCACAGGCAGCAAGGCTGCAGGCTCTGTGCTCCTAAGGCGCCCAGCCCTCTCTAGCCTAGCGCTCACAGGAAGTGACGGGCTTGAATGGAGGATTCCACACATTGCCAGGGCATAGAAACCCACTCTTAGGTCCAAGCAGGAACTGTGTCAGTCCCAGACATGGAGGGAACCCCACCGACAGGTGCAGGGTTGGGGGAGGACACGCACCACTGTGTGTGCACTGCTGTGCCTAGCTAATGCCAGCCCCTGAGTAGAACATCTGGAAAGTGGGTTTGCACCAGCCCCAGGGACAGTAACTCACTGGTACTGACTGAGAGGTGTCAGGGCCATATCCTGCCTGTAGCCCTTAGTTGGAGGGAGTCCTTCAGGAGGATCCTGTGGCTCCTGGGCCCCGCTGAGGGGGGCTGCAGGGTGGTCCCCACATTCCTCCTCCCCATACCTTCCTGCCCACATTCCTCTGCCTGGGCTACCAGCTTCCCAAACCCACTGTAAGCTGCTGCAGGTCTCAGCACCTGCGCAGGATGCTCCGGAGGCCAGCTGGTGCCAAGCCCTCCAGCCGCACCCTGCGCTGCGTGCGCGGCAGAGCCTAGCCTGCGGCCAGGAGGGCCGCGCCTCACTCATGGTGGTACGCATGCGCTAACCTGCCCCAAGAGGGCACTATCGCCCTGCATGCGCTGAGTCGAGCTCGCGCAGCCTCCTCAGCAGCTCGGCCAGCCAGGGCAGGGGTCTCTTGTCTTGGGCTCACGGGTGACAGGGAGCTGCCCAGTGTCCGAGGAGGACGGGACACACATCACCAGCTCAGGGGAGGATCTCGGTGTAGGCGCGCCAGGCCCTCCCTCCCTGAACCCTAATTGCCTTTTCAGAAAACACACAGACCTTATGTTTACAGTATGAAAATACGAGGCCGTAAATCTGCTTCTTTCCGAAATTTGCGGATATGAGGCCGTTTACTTTTTATACTCTACTTTCATGTTTATGTGTCTGGAAGCTTTTTAGGGTTTTCTTTATTGCCGAGACCTGAAATGTCGTCAGGGTGTAAAATTATTTCCCCCCACCTCCCCACCATTGTCAGCTCGTTTTTTTCTTTCTGAAAGTGATTCCTCTCACTTTTTTTTGTTTTGTTTTGTTTTGTTTTGTTTTGTTTTGTTTTGGTACGGGGGTCTCGCTAAGCGCGGACTCACGGTGATCCTTCTATCTCAGCCTCCTCAGCGCTGGGATTACAGGCGTGTGCCGCCAGGCCCGGTCTTGGTGGCTGGCATGGCCCAGGGCTGGCAAGCATGCTACCGGGAATCGCACCCGAGTCTTTGCACTCGCCAGGCAGACGCCTAGACCTGCTAGATGAATTCACACGTATTTTGAGTTGCCTGTTGCCTTTCCCGTGTCTGTCTGTCCTGTATGCTAAGAGCTTCGGGCTCGGTCACCTTGCAGACCCCTAATTCTGATTTTTGCCACAAAGGATTACAGTTTAGCTACCGTTAGGTTTGGATTCAGCTTTTTAAAATTTAATTTAGATTTTTAACCCTACAGTTCCTTCACCAGAACGCCTCGATTTCCCCTGATTTTCCTTCTTTCTCAGTTTCTGATTTATGGCTACAACAGCCACTCTGATCTCTGCAGTTACGACCTGGTTGCAGCCTCTCTTTTGTCCTCTTCTGCCAGCGCGTGCACCACCACCGTGCTCTTATACCAGTGCTGGCTTTCCCCAGGGGCTGCCAGCCTTAGATGACTGATGTGCACTCACTGGCGGATTGAATGGATTCACCAGCAATGCCACCTTTGCCACTGTGTAGCTGTTTCCCCGAAGGATTCCTTCTTGAATGAGAGGGCTGGGCTGACTGTGAGGCACGCTGTGTGAATAGGGGTTAAGAATGCACACGAACATGCATGTGGACAATTTTGGGCCATTTGTGTTGCTGTAAAAATCCACAGACTCAGTAGGCTGACGTATTTCTCACAGTTCTGGAGGTCTGGATGATGGATACTGAGGAGACAGGCAGGCAGCTGGTGAGAGCTCCTCATTTGGGGAATTCTGGAAATCTTATGGTGGAAGATGGTCCAACCCACACTTCTTGAGGGACCCCTTCAAACCACAAAGCAACGCCCCACCTTCCACCCCGAGAGGGCAGAGGGACCTCACTTCGGCCACCTCCCCAGCTGATGCTTGCCCCATATTCCTCATCCATGTCTTCTCCTGAGTTGCAGTGCAGTCTGTCGCAAGGTCTGTTGGGGTGCCCGGCCTGGCAGCTGCCTGGAACCTTGCCCAAGATCTTGCCCGAGAAGGTGGCATTCCCGGGGCCTCTCCCAGCTCAGGCATGGCTCCTGCCCACTGTTCTGCACTCCGGGCCTGCAGCAGGTCTTCAGGGCCCGAATGCAGGTGACACTGAGTGACTGACAGCTGTGCGGGCGCGGCCCTCCTCCATGGAGATGATCGGCGGCTGTGCTGTCCTGTGGTCTCTCCTTTCCTGGACAGCTGTGTCACCGTGCTGTCCTTAGGCTGCGGAGGCGTCTGCCATCCTCAGACAGCCATTTTCCAGGGGTCCTAGTGACTTCTCATCTGTCCTAGGCATGGTGTTGGCTCCAGTGCCACTGGGGGGCCGCTTCCTTACCACATCTTCACACCGAGTGATGGGCCGTCTTCAGCTCAGTCCAGGGTGTCCTTCTGAGCAATATTTCAGCTTAAAAATAGATGCGCTTTGCTCTTATTGGCATAATATATAAACTTAGCGGGAAAGTTTGAAAAATCCAGAGAAACAAGAAAAAGACTAGGTCTCGTGGCAGTTCATGATTTCAGTAATACCCAGTGTGTTCAATTTTTCAAAACAATCGCTGCACTTGTGAAATGCCCTGCTTGCTTCTGTTCTGCGGGAAGTGTGTTTAGTACCAGCACTACTGACTCCTAGAGCTGAAGCTCCGGGATCACAGTTCAAAGTCTCCAAACATCCCTCTGCGGAGCAAAAGCCAGAGCTTTCTCGGTATTCGGTGAATGGGAAGAATATTGCATTTGGTCCTAGTTCTTCATGAAGTAATCAGTCTGATGTGTTTCCAGTTTGCTGATTGGAAAATATGTATTCTTACTGTGAATGTATGAGCAAAAATACTTTCATAAAGGAGCTCTGCTTTTAAAATGGCTTGAAGAGAAGCCGCATCAGTGGACAGCTGCGGGCCTACGTTTCTTACAAAAGCAGCCTGTGAGGCCAAGCCTGTTCCCTGCATGGCACTGTGAGGGTCAGCATGGCTGTGGAGGGACCAGATGCGTCACTGCCGGTGACCGGCAGCCAAGAGCCTCGTGCAGCTGCACAGCCACCCGCAGGTGGACGCACATCCCAGCAGAATGGAGCACACGGTCACAGGTACAGAGAGGTGTTTGCAATACAATGGCTTTTCTTTCTTTCACTAGCCGGATGCTTCTTGTGACAACCATACTACACAGATAGCTGGTACCCTGGAAGAAAAGCAGCTGCCAGAAGTCATCAAAGCAAGGGACCCAGTGGTAAGTGATGGAGGCAGGACTGTGGGTAGGGATGGAAGAAGCTGTTGGAGCAGAGACCGCATGCTCGTGAAAATGAGCAGAGTGGTGAGGAAGGTTGGACAACACGCTGCCAGGGTATCTGGATACCTTTATTCCATTTGTAAGGAAAATACTCTGCTTGAATGAACCTAACAAGTTCATCTACAAATAGCTGCATATTCTAGCTTCTAAAGTAAATACATTCTCGGGAACTGAACGACCACGTTAGTGTCTTTACTGATTTTTTTACAAAATTCTTTTAGGAGTGTTGGCTCCGACAAGTCGCAGGTCTGCCTGCTGCCCCAGGGATCCTTGAATGTGCTGCCCATCTGTGCCGCGGGACATCCTTCACTCGTGGTGGCAGGGCTTCAGCTCGTGTCCAGTCCTGCACTTACTTCCACTAGGCCCTTCTAGCTGAAAGCCTGCGCCAGGCATGGGCGCCATGACTGCAGGAGAGGAAGGCTGCGCTAGCTATAGCCCAGCCGGTGCCTCTGCTGCCTGAGTTCCTACTTGTGGACCTGTCCTGAGCGGTCTTTTCTCTTCTTAGGTAGAACGTGTGTCGTATATTTTCCATCCTCCTATTTCCTTTCCTAACTTCCTCCCAAATAGAAAAAAGAAAGCTGGCCAATTCCAGTAGGTTCTCTGTTCCCTGATGAGGTTGCCCTGGGGAGAAATTTTACTGGGAAGGGTCCTTCGGGGGTGGAGCTCAGGTGTGGCTCCCATCCAGGTCATTTTCCCTCAGAGTTTGGAGGAGGTGGCAGGAGTCATGTTCAGAATCCTCTGCATTTGCTTTCATCCTTAGTGGAGTTCAGTGGATTTTAGAAAAGAATCCACAGTATTTCCAGAGTCTCTGACCACCCCTTGCCTAAGGGCTGCCGCTGATTCTTCCCACATTTTCCTGTGTCTCGTTGCTACTAACAGACTTTTCGGGTAAAGAGCCTTGGTTAGCTAGTTTAACTCCCTCTTTGCTCCCAGACTACAATTGCTCTTGTTGACAAAAATAATATCAAAGCTCCTTCTTTGGATACTAAATATTCCATAGACACTTAGCAGAACAAATGGCTTCCCTCTCTATGAGTTTTGAACTATCAAAATCATGCTAGAACTTTTCTTGCCTTTTACAATGGTGTTATGGTTTGTCTAGTTGTCGCCCCAAAGTCTCATACAGTCATGGGGCAGGGACTTCTGGGGTTGAGATTAACTCATGATCCATTGGGATTATGGATGTACTTCCCCCACCCTGGGGCAGACAGCCTGAACGCAATTCAAGGAAGACTTGCTCTCTGTTGCCACTGTTGCTGCTCCTCCTCCATTTGTTCTTGCTCTTTGTCGGCACCATGGGCTGCTGCTCTCTGCCCTGTGCCACTCTGCCTTTAGTATGAACTAAAACGTCCAGTAACTATGAGCTGAATCAAACTTTCCTTTCTTCATTTTGGGTGTCAGTATTTGTCCCAGCAATGATCAAAGAGTAACTGAGGGGGCCTGCCGGTTAGCTCAGTTATTTAAGCGCCTGCTCATGCAAACTCAGTCAGGTGCAGGATACTGCCGTTCGATCCCCAGCTCTACCTGCCTTACCAGACCCGCCCTTGAGGCAGCCTGAGCCAGCCAAAAAAGAATCCTTCTCAACTTTGGGACCGCCCAAATAGCTCAGCAGATTAAAGCACCTGCAAGCAGGCACGGGGTTAGGAGTTTGATCCCCAGGCCAACTGTGCTGGCCCCGCCCCTGGGGCATGCTGAGATGGCAGTTGAGACTGGGCATGGTGGTGCACACCTGTAATCCCAACTTTTGGGAAGCTGTATACAGGCAGATCACTACGAGTTTGATCTAGTAGTGAGACCCTGAACACCCTGTAGACCTTTCCCTAAAATACAAAAAAAAAAAAAAAAAAAAGGAGAGAGAGAGAGAGAAGAGTGAGATAAATGAGTGAAAGAGTTGGACAGATACTTCTCCAAACAAGACATGTGGGCGGCAAGCCATCTGAGGAGACATGCCAGTAGCACGAATGACCGGGGAGATGAAGGGAAGGAAGCTCCATGGGGCTCCCCCACCCCCGTGGAGTGGCGAGCAGGACTCCTAGGCTAACCCAGCAGAGCCAGGGACCGGAGCAGCTGGCACCATGACACTGGGCATGCAGCTGGGATGGGCCACTTGGGAAGCTATTGGACAGCTCCTTAAAACACTGCGGATGTGCCCTCGCCGTAGGCTCCCGCGCTGCACCAGCAGGAAATGCACAGCCTTGTGGAGCCTGTCCCCGGCTCTCCATAGCAGCGCTGTTTCTAACAGCCCCAGACTGAAAACCACCTCCTGTCCTTGTGCAGGAAAGGAACAGAGGAGGGGAGTGCATGCTATAGAGCAGCGCCGAGCCCACAGTAGGGATCGGAGCAGTAAGCCCCGGAAAGGAGCCAGACCAAGAAACTCAGTGAGTGGCGGAAGAAGTGGGCAGCTCTGGAGTGACAGAAAGACCGTGATTTTCTGAGGCTCTGGGGTGACTGAGGAGGGGAGGGAAGGACACACCCCAAGGGACATGGGACATTTTAGGTATTGCTGGCTTTGCTCATTATCATGACTGTGGTAAACGTCCCCTTGTCACTGCATGCTTTAAATATTGCAGCTTCACAGGCAGGTAGCGACATGTGGGCTGTATCTCGATAAACATGGAGAAAGAAGTCCATATAAAGTTGTGCCGTTTCATCAGTTGCCAGCATATTTATTTTGCAGTAATTTGCTTGCAGTAGAAGAAAAGCCACTCGCATTTCTCCTCCTGCCCAGTCAGGGCACCTGTCGTTCCCTCTGCAGTCAGCAGGGACCTGGCTACCCATCACTTTTTATTTAGACAAAAGAAGATGTTGTCCTTATGTTCAGCTGACATAAATGAAATACTGAGTGGAGATGTTAGCTTATTGAAAAAGCAAAGTGATCAATCTAGTTTATTTCCAGTGTCTTCAGTGAAAATCAAATAGCTACCCTTGCTATTGATTCATAACTCACTGCAAAATACAATCACACCATCTGCCAAGAATCCTCACTTACATCTGTGTTTGCTTTCAATGAAAGAAAGTCTAAGGAACCGTGACTTAAACAAGTAGGAGTTTGCTTTAACCACAAGACAAGAAACCGGTGGTGGGTTTTTTTGGCGGAACCGGGAATTGAACTCAGGCCCTTGCACTTGCCAGGCAAGCGCTTATTCTACTGAGCCATCTCCCTGGCCCTAAATCATTTATTTATTTGTTTATTTGGTACAGGGTCTCACTATGCTGTAGTGATCCTTCTATCTCAGCCTTTCCAGTGCCAATACAGTGCCAGTACAGGCATGCACCAGGATGCCTGGTTTTGGTGACCAGCATGGCGCGCCTGGGCTTCAGGGACCGGCACAGCGTGTGGTACCAGGGATTGAACCCAGGTTCTTATGCTTGCCAGGCAGGTACTTAGACCACTGAGCTATCTCTCCTGAAGAAACCGGTGATGGGCCAGCCGGCTGGAGCACCCGCAGAGCGACGAGGCCGCAGCCTCCGTGGCACGGCCCTGGGCCGTGGCCTCCCCTGCGCCACCTGCATGCAGCCCGCTGCCGGCAGTGCCACTGCGCCGGGGACCTTGCAGACACCTGTGCCACCGGGCTGTTTTTAAGGCGCAGCCTCACTTTCCTGCAAACCTGCACAGTGCAGTTTCTCATATGCTTCACTGACAGGCTGCGGAGGCCACCCCCAGCGTAGGGCCTTTGTATGTCTATCTTCTATCTTTCCTTATTTTAGTTGCCAGAACCTCTTTCCTCTACAAAAAATCCTGTCAAAGTTTCTTGTTTATGCTCTGCACAAGTTTCTGAATTTTATGACGTTTGAGTTTGGGCCTGGAATTCGGAGCTTGCCCGTGGATTGGCCCACGCTTCCTCCATGCTTGCCAGCGTGCTGCAGGTTCCTCCTGTCGGTTTCCACACACCTTCTTCTGTTAGGTCTTGAATTATCTTTCTTCCTGTTTCTTGTGTCCCTTCTGCACACATTAAACAGTTACTTTAATTGGCTCTAATTGCCTGCTGCTGTTTCCTACTTGTCCTCCCCTGAGGTTGGCTTGCCCCGTGTCCTGGCTTTTTTCAACCTTACGTTCCAGATCAGTTATGTTTACCTCCCTCGTGATTGTGTTATCGTTTAGCGGGTCTCCATCTTTCTGTCAGTTTGGGCTCGCACGGTCCCCTTTCCTGAGAGCAGCTTCTGTCTTCCCGCTTAGCCGTCCTCACAGCGCCCGTTGTTCCCATTTCTGATGTGAAGCACAGGTCTGTCTTCCCACCTTTCTGAAGGTAAGAATGAAACTTTTTCAGAAACCCAACTATTACTAAATTGAGGCTGATTTGCATCCTCCTTTCTTTTTTGAAATTCTTTACTTTTTCTGAAAAAATACAACCATTTCATAATCCTGTAAGCAGAGAGTAACTACAGTTATTAGTGTATCATTAATCTTCAGAGTAGTTACTCAGACTGCAAGGCATGAATCAAAAGGAAGAGGAAAGGGATAATAACACTAATCTTTCCTTGCAAAGTAATAAAGTAAACTAGTAGCACAAATGAAACCAAATAGCACATATATTGAAATACTTCTAAAACAGCAGAAGTTGGGAAAGTATTTGTGCTTCTCCCTGTTTCCTCTTTATCTCTCTTCTATTTTCTCATTTCTCATGAGAAACCCCTTGATATTTAAGTGTGTGTCTAACCTAGTGGACTTTACTATGTTCTCAATTTGCATCCATTTATCTACAAATACCTCAAGGCTTTCTTTGGTCGTGGCAGTGTAGTACTCCATAGTGCATAAATGTTACATTTTCCTTATTCCTTCACCTGTTGATGGAGTTAAACAGTGTTTCTAAGACGTGGCTACGCGAACTGCACCGCTCTAAACATGCCACATGGGTCAGATTATGAGCAAACAGCTGCTCGGAGCCTGCCGCCCTCTCTCTCCAACTCAGTAAAGGATAAGTTCACAGGTAAATCCAAAGTGGCTGAATTCTGTGTTTTCAAAAAGTGGGGTATGAGGAGGAGCCACAAAAGTAGATTGTTATATACATCCTGTGTGGAGGGTATTGCCAGCAAAACCTCGGTCTTCCGGGGTGAGCTACATGGAAAAATAACACACACCAAGTAAACGTTTTTTGGTATATTCAGTACTAAGTGGGTATAAATAATGTTTTATAAATATTTAGTGTAATTTTCTACATGCAAATATTTTGTGTGGGGAGCACGTTTGCTTCTGGCACGTGCAGCAAAACATGATGCATGAGTGACATGGCTGCCCCCGTGGTGGGCGCCAGCTGGTCCGGAAGCCACACGTGTCCCTCTGTGTGGCAGCAGATGGGAGAAAACCACTCTGACCACAAGAGTGGACCTTTGAGCTGTTTTCTGTCCAACTTCCCAAGGTCCCCAAGCCCACCTTTCAGGACAGGGTGACAGTTCTGCCCCAAGACTCCTCCCACGGAAAGGTCCGCATGAGTCCTCCCATCAATGGTGTCTGCAGGGGACCTGCAGGCTCTGGGCCCCAGAGTGTCCCACACACCGTATTCATGGATTTGCTTAATTGATTTGCCTGGGAGATTGTGTTGTGTTTGCTCTGCCATTAAATAGGTGTGTTTTCCCCACAGCCCACATGGTTGGTTTTGTGTCCCGTAAGCAAGGAGCCAGTACCTCACCTGGTGGTGTGTGTGGTTTAGGCTCCGACCCACCGTCCCACTGTCACGGCTGCAGAGTCGTCCAGGCAGGCAGAGCCCCAGGCACCCTGCACTTCTGGATGTCCTGGCCTCCGCCCAGGGGAGTTCTTCATTTTATTTAGATAGAAGTTTTCCTGTGATTGTATTTCAGGACACTGTGCCCACCTAGGGAGGTGTTGATCCTACTTTGCCCCCATGTCCTTTTCTTACCTTTGTTCTTTCTTCGTTCTTCGTATTTTTGCCTTCTCCTGGAAGTTATTTTAGGTGAAGGTTTGTATTTTACCAAACCAATCCTACTTCCTTTACACCTAGAAATGCCTCCCAGTTGTGGGCCATAGAATTGTTTGCTGTGTTGTGAACTTTTAACATTTTTTTCCTAGAAAGGAAAGCATACATGTTTTGCTGCCATCCCTCATGGTGGGGCGCCTGGGGATCTGGCTCAGCGGTAGAGGGCTTGCTTAGCGAGCCCGAAGCCCTGGGCTCAGTCCTTGGCTTCAAAAACAAAAATAAACCTCCCCTAAAAAACAATTGAACCGAAACAATACAGTAAAATCAAAAAAGACTAAAAGCAAACAGGGCAACTGTAATGATTTGGGGCAGGATGGGGAAGCAGGTGATGGCTTGCTGTCTTGATTTAAATTTCTTGTGCTAGGTCTTTGGGTATATATGTTTCTCAAATGAAAAGATTTGTGTTCATTCCATAGAGGATTTACACCATCTGTAGAAAACCAAGACAATGTGGTCAAGCAAAGTGAAGGATGACAATTTTTGAAAGACAAACTATCAAATGTTTACATAAATATTATACATTCAATTTTGCAATAAATTTCCTTTATTGATCTGTTTTATGGGTGGAAAAAGAAGACAACTTGGTGGCAGGACTTTTAAACTGTGGTCACCACACACACATGCTCCCAGGTCTTGCTACAAATGGATGAACAAGTAATACAATATGACTGGTTCAACAATCGTTGATATGCTAAAATTTAAATCCCTATAGAATGTGAAATAAAATACAATAAAATAAAAAACAAGTACACATTTTTACACAGAAATTTAAAGATCTAACCATATACAGCATTGTAGCAGGACAGTCCTATGACTTTTTTTTTCTTGTCTCTTGTTTTCTCTTATTACCTTTTAAAAAAACCATTTATTTGAGAGAGAGTATAGCAGTAATTGATATGACATTAAAAGCAGTATGCATTTAGAAGGCCAGAATGACAGGCATTCCAAGCATGGCCCTAGTATTACACATTGCTGTCCTCAGTGCAGCTGCTAGTTCACAGGTATCAGCATATATAGTTAGTCAGGGTGAGAATCCTACCAATTAACTGCTACTTTCAAAAACCTGATGGAGATTCTCAGGACCATTGCTTTACCCATCTTGTGTATATAAATGTATGGTTTTTGCCCTCCCCTGTTTCCTTGCTTTTTTCTTTGCCCTCTCTTCATTGTTTAATACTTAAGCTCTCACTTTCCATTTAATTGTGTTACACCTTTCAATTTTTCTTTCTTCTTTTGAGTTCTTACACTAGGGAGATTATACGATCTTTATACATGTGGGTCTGGTTTATTTCACTTATGAGTATATCTTCAAGTTGTATCCACTTATATATGAAGGTTCCATGTTATGTCTAAGGCATTTGATATTCAGACAGATAGTGATTTTTTAAAATTTTTTGCAGAACCGGGGATTGAACTCAGACCCTTGCGCTTGCCAGGGAAGTGTTTATCCTACTGAGCCATCTCCCTAGATAGCAATATAAGCTCAAATGCCTATGTTAGAGGGCAATAATATCTTTAGAACTGGGTATTGAACTCACAACCTTGTACTTGCCAGGTAGTCACTGTGCCACTGAGCTATCTCTCCAGCCCTAATAATATCTTTAAAGAAGAGGAAAGAAAAATATTTTTTCTCTTCTGAAGGGCTAACAACTAAAGTTTGCAGACCAAAATATTGAGAAAAAGACGGGCTACAGGGATAGCCAATATTTTGGCCCTAGCCCTTCAAGGTCAGTGAGGACTCAGGACATAAGAGAACCTCTGCTGTGACATCCTGTAACTCAGTGGTGTCCCAAATTTTCTGTTCAAGATTATGAGGCCATAGAGGAAAATAATTGACGATGTAGAGTGTGCCTAAGGAGAGTCACCTAGAGAGAAAACATTCTCTCAGGCTTTCACAGAGAGAAAATTGGTCAAGCAATGGCCGTGACTCATCCAGACGGTTGACACTGACAGAAGATCTACAAGGTGCTGTACATGGTTTCAGGGTAAATCCTAAGGGGATTTGAATGACTTTGTCAGATGTAAAAGTTGTATTTTTTTGTTATAT